AGCAAACCATATGAGGCTTCATAATTAAATAAAAAATAGTCAAACCGATAGGTAAGCTTGCAAGCTCCGCTTATCCACAAAAGGAAGGAGGGCTTTTAAATAGTCAAAATGAAGCAAACTTTTCTCATCCAGAATTGGTCTCATCAGCTACAGCAGAAGCCACAAGCCTTGCACTGTCACGGCCGCCTCTCTTTTCTCACTATACTAAAAAAACATTTCCGCGAAATGTGCGCACCATGGGCGCCCATATGAAGAGTAAAACAGCGGTCTAGCTGTATTCGATTGTGCCCGTCTACTCAACCTCCAACTCATACAAAGGGACATACACTTTTTGCCCTTCATTTAGCTCAGAAATAAACAAACTGGAAGCTCCGTAGCTAACCGAAATGATGTAGATCTAAGAGTGCACGGTCTAGATTTAAATGAAAGTCCATAATGAGCTCATCTGTCTTTGGCTCCTAGAGTGCGGTCGAAAACTCGTGGCGAAATTTACTGTCAAATAGCCTAAGCTATCAAATATAGACTATCCAGCTTTGGCTCGATGACAAAACAGATCGATATTTTTATAAACACGTGTTAGCTGTATTCTTGGAGATTTCTTAATAAATACTAATGAAAAATCCAAGTGGATGGTTTCTATAGATTTAAAAAAGCTTCACAGGTGGGGCAATACCGCTTTTTGAAGCAAGTCCGTCATTTGTTTTCTAATCGTGACACTCTCTTCATTAAACGCATGTTTTAAGAGCCTTTAGTGTAAAAATGTCAATGTGCTCACTATAACATTAACTTCTTGCTACAAGGTTGGTCCATAAAAAGTGTCATCGGTCAGCAGTGGTGACGTAGGCCAAATGTGTATGCAAAAAGTGTGTGAGAAGCGGAAAGTGCAGTGAACAATCCCATTTTCTGCGAGACGTAAAATTTATAATATTTTACAAACGTTTCTGAAGAGAAGCTTTTGAATTTAGCCTCAGCTGTTATGGGAAAATATGATTAAGTTAAAACAAATTGATACAAACTACTGGGTTAGGCTCTCGGACTCGCAACCGTAAGGTCGTGGGTTCGAATCCCGTCAAGGGCCCGACGTTGTGTCCTTGGGAAAGGCACT